CTATTATTGTGTTGCTATATATTTCTCCCTTTAGATTTATTAATATTTGCTTTATATATTTAGGTGCTCCTATGTTAGGTGCATCATTCTTTTTTCTCTTTGTTCCTCTAACTGGCTAATTTCCAGTGTCTCATTCCAGTTTCCTAATTATTTTTTATGCATGATAGAGTGTGCCTTGAATCTCTCAGTTGAAATTTTCAGTTCAGTAATTGTATTCTTCTGTTCAAGGATTTTTGTTTGGTTCTTTTTTATGAATTCTATTTCTTTATTAAACTTTTCATTTTGTTTGTGTATTGTTTTCCTGATTTTGTTTAGTTATCTGTGTTCTCTTGCACTTCATTGAGATTAATTAAGATGATTATTTTGAATCCTTTTCAGACAATTCGTAGATCTCTATTTGTTGTTATTGGTTATTTGTTAGTTTTTTTTGATGGTGTTAAAGGTGACTGATTCTTTAGGGACTGTGTAGCCTTGTGTTTGTGTCTATGCATTTGAAGTAACAAACATCTATTCTAGTCTTTACACACTGGTTTTGACAGGTCAAGATCTTCTCCTGTTTGGTCCCAGGGTGGTGGGATTGCCTCTGTGGTCTCAGGTGAGTGGGGTTGGAGCGAGATATCATGGTTGCTGCTGGGTCGGCACTAAAGTCTGTGATTGTCAAGCTTGTTACCAGGTGCTTAGAGGGATGTGCATCCTGGGCATTTGATATGCCTCCAAGACCTTGATCTGTAGGGCTGATGTTGGGACAAAAGTCTGCTTCAGAGTTCACAGTTGAGTCTGCAGATGCTGTGCCTTTTACCACGTTTTTGGACAGGTGTGGCTCCTGTTGGTTCCTTGGAAGGGCTCTCACTGAGTTATTGGGTGGGTCCTTCATTGGCAGGACTATTCCCCAAACTGTAGCTGAGAGTGACTGGAACCGAGTTACAGGGCCACTTCTGGCTTTGCCATTGGACTGAGTTTGGTGGGCCAACGTCTGGGGTCACAGATGGGTGTGTCTCTTGCTAGACCTTAGATAGGTAGGATAGCTCCAGACAGTGACTAAAAGGGGCTGGAGATGCATCACAGCCTGCTTCAAGGTCCGCAGCTGGGGCCCCTGTTAGATGGCCTGATACCAAAGTATATGTGGCAGGGATCCTTCTGTGCTCCCTGGTGGACTGTGCTGATTGCAGGATCAATGCTAATGGGGCTGCAGCTGAGTCTACAGGGGGATGGAGCTGTTGTCAGGACCGTGGTTGGCAAGCCTGCCTCCTGAAGGCCTGCCTTCTCAAAATGGCCCTCTTCGGTCTTAGACTCCCATGGGGTTGTGCAACCTCGTTCCTGGATCCTAATGCCCCTACAAAGGCAGTTTTGTGCATGGATTTCTGACAAATTATTGTTTCCCTGCAAGGATATGAATGGGAAATCTTGTATCCTAGCATCTTGATGATGTGTGGTGATACCTTTTTAAATAAAATGCAAAAGGCACAATACATGAAGAAAATAAAATTGATAAACTGGACTTCATTAAAAGTAAATAATTGTTGCTCTGTGAGAGACACTGTGAAGAGAATGAGAAGACAGGGTGAAATATTTACAAAAACAATGGACTGTTATACAAAATATAAAAGAACATTTAAACTCAACAATAAGGTAATGAACAACCTAATTGAAAAATGGTCAAAAAATCTGACAGACACTTTATCAAAGAAGATATGCTGATGGAAAATACGCAGGTGAAAAGACATTCATCATATATCATCAGTGAATTCAAAATTAGTCAACAATGAGATATTGATACACAACTCTAGAATGGCTAAAATTCAAAACCCTGACAACACCACATGTTGACAAGATGTGTAACAACAAGAATTGTCATGAATTGCTGGTGGGAATGGAAAATGGTAAAGTCAGTGTGAAAAACACTTTGGAAGTTTCTTACAAAACTAAAGATAGTTTTACCATATGATCCAGCAATCACACTCCTTGGTATTTACCAAATGAGTTGAAAACACAAAAACTTGCACATGAATTTTTGTTGCAGCTTCATCCATAATGGACAAAGCTTGGAAGGAACCAAGATATCCTTCAGTAGGTGAGTGAATAAGTAAACCATGGTACAACTATACAATGGAATATTGTATTGTGCCAAAAGAAATGAGCTTTGTAGTCATGAAATGACATGGAGGCACCTTTAATGCATATTACTAAGTGAAAGAAGGCAATCTGAGAAGACTATTTATTGTGTGCTTCCAACTATACGACGTTTAGGAAGAGGAAAAACTATGGAGATAGTAAAAGGATCAGCAGTTGCCAAGCACTTGAAGGAGGGAGGAATAAATACGTGGAACACACAGGATGTGATTTATAAGGCACTGAAATTATTCTGTATAATACTATAAGGGTGTATACATGTCCATGTACATTTTTCAAAACCTATAGAATGTAGAACACAAAAAGTGAACCCTAATATAAACTGTGGACTTTCATTAATAATCATGTATTGATGATGGTTTTATCACTCGTAACAAATGTTCCACTCTGGTGTGGGATGTCGATGGTGGGAGAAACTATGTGTGAGTGTGGGAAGGAGTATGTGGGAACTTTCTGTACTTTTTGCTTAATTTTTCTATGAATCTAAAACTGCTCTAAAAAGTAATGTCTATTAATTAAAAAAATATAACAGCTCTAAGCCACAACTCAAGCCAAGCCAAAGTTTGCGTTACTCTGACTGTAGAGGGCTTCACACTGATGGTCTCCTGTCCATCCATTTGGTCAGCAATGGGAAGTCTCTTCAATGTGAGAAGTCACTGAACTTGGAGTGGGGAAACCTGGATTCTAAGACAAGGTCTTGCTTTGGTGACACTTCACTTCACTGAGTTACAAATTGCCCATTCCTAAAAATAAAGATTAGACTCACTGGTTTCAGAGATATCTTCTATCTCCTAATTATGTATGATTCTTTCATTCTATTAAAGAAAGGACCAGGGTATCCCCTCAGTAGGGGGAAGGAGGACCAGGGCAGAGATATGTGTCTCTCCGGGAATAAAAACATTACTCTTAAGAGAGCAACTGAGCTTTTTATACCTAAAATATGTTAGTGAATATCTCGTAGAGTTTAAGGCTATGTGAGTCAAGCAGCAAATTACAGCTTCTCTTTGTTCTAGATAAAAGGTTCACTGAGACCTAGACTCACGCGAGTTCCAAAGGTTACAAAACTAAGCTTTTTGAACTCTGTTTTAATCAACAGTCGCTGTGATTATTAACTAAATAAATATTTATTTTTAACATCACTTTTTAGAGTGTATTATGCAATACTGAATCATAGTGCACACTCAGTAAATGTGGGGAACTTGCTTGAACTCAACGGTTTGCTTGGAGGCAGCATGCAGGGCTCCGTGGGGGGGGGGGTGAGCTCTACCACCTGCAGTCTGTGTGTCCTTGGCCAAGGTGCTGAAACCCCAAGGCCAGCTTCCTCATCATTAAAATGGGAGTGATTTTACGTTAGGTAAAGACAATTTAGAGAACCAAAAGGGTTATGATGGGTGTGAACATTCTCTAATTCTAAGTCTCCCTGTAAACATGACAACTAAAACATTTTGTAACTAGGGTCTTGACAAATCTTAATTTTTCCCTTCCTAAATGGGCTTAGAAATAATTGCACTAAGCAATGTGGAACAAATATGATGATATCTTTACAGAACATGCCTTTGTACAAGCATTGCCATTCTTATCTGCTAATGTATATCATTCCAGTGATATTTATATCCTCATGACCGCTCGCTGTATGTTGTCTCCTGTCTACATGTTGTGGTGGTTCTGTGCTGTGGGTCTGTTTGATGAAGTTCCTGCCTCCCATCCTCCACTGAATCCACACCTGTTGTTCTGTCTAGAATCTCCAAATACATACAGTACCTCATTTCATTATTTCTGACAATGACAGGCCAAAAAGCAAGAGAAACAGCTGTGTCTAGAAAGCAATTGGGAGGCAGGGGAAGCCATAGTTTCTCAAGATCGGCCCCCTAAATTCTCTGAGATTGACTCTTCCCTTAGTTACACTGAGCAAGATACTTCTCTACAGTGACAGAGAGAGTAACAGATGGAGAATCTTTGGCCGTTTTATCCTTAGAGTCAAATAGGTGACATTTATTTAATGTGAAGCCTGTTATTTTGTGAACAGGGTCAATGAGGTATAAATTCAGAGTGATTACTATTTGGAGGTTTTGTTTTGTTTTTCAAAAATTGTTCTTGAGGCAGCTGTGGTGTAAGCCACAGTGCACCACAATGGGCATCAGAAGGTCTCAGTTCTAATCTCAGTCCTGCCACCTGTGAGCTCTGTGATTCCAGAGTCTCCTTTTATCCATTTTAAAAATAAAAAATGATAAAGTCTATTCTCCAGTGATTTTTAGGGGGTTTAATGGTAAAAGGTACGTAGGTTTACTCAGCCATTTACTTGATATATATACAGTTATTCAAGATATGAGTTATGCTAGCTATTTTATGTTTAGGCAGCTATAATGTTAGTATAATACATTAAAATATTTAAAGGCTTCCATTTTCAAGGACAAAGGATCTTAGTGTTTGATAAAACATTACAACATTTTTTATATATAAGAAATAGGATGCACTGGGTTCCCCTAAAGTTCTTAATTCCGAGCTGATCATCAGTCTGAGAATCCAGAATATTGAGCATTGTTTTGGATGGAATCCCTCCAGTAGTTCTTAATCCTAGTTGCATTTGAAATCTCCTCAGGATTTTTGTGTGTGTGTGTTTTTTAATTACCACTTCCTGAGTTGTATCTCAGAATCTCAAAGATAAGGAATTAGAAAGAAGAAGAGCGAGGCTACAGAACACTTTATTTTTATCCTTATCAGTAGACCAAACGTCCACTCAAAAGAGATTAGAGTTGGTTTAGCTCATTGATTGGTCTCTTTTTACATCAGAGAGGCACATGTTCAATTAGCAGAGAGTGTTGTAAAAGCTTTGGATTTCAGGCTCACAGTTGTCTAAGTAAGAAGAGACAATGGATCCACTTGTAGTTCTGGTGCTCTGTCTCTCCTATTTGCTTCTCCTTTCACTCTGGAAACAGAGGTCCAGGAAAGTGAGGCTCCCACCTGGCCCCGCTCCTCTCCCTGTTATTGGAAAAATCCTACAGTTAGATGTTAAAGACAATAGCAAATCATTAAGCAATGGAAGTGTGTTTTATGCTTTTCCAGTGGCTTGCAAAGGGTAGACAAACTAATCTTCACTTTTAAATAAAATATATTCCTGGTGACAAATGATTAAAATAGATCATTGCACAGAAAATACTCCTATTGCGTTTCAATACTTCCATTGCTTTTTTTTCAGTTTGTCCTTGTCAGATAGTAGAATGAAGTAATGCATTTTGGGAGAACAAAAACATTTAAGTCGGCAAAAGTCTGGAGTATTGCTGCCCTTAATTATTTCATGTTTTCATGTGCTGTGATCTTTTGCTTGAAGGCAAATGGTAATGTAAGTGTTGTGATTAGAGCCTTCACTCAAGAAGTTATTTTCTCTATGACCTATAGGTTTTGTTCGACTAGTCATGAAAATAAAACTTCCCTGAAGAAAGAAATTTTGTCTAATGTCAAGAAATAGTTATGGGCTCAGGATCAGCAAAAATGAGTGAAAGAAAGAATCATTCAGGATCCATGGGGTGGTAACAGAATCCTTTTGGATTTTTAAAAAGCTGCTGTCTATACCCTATGAATGCTGCAGGATTGAAGAAATTGTTTTTCCACGAAATGCTGCATGTTCTGGCATTGCCTCTGTGATGCTTGTTCTCCTTCTGTGGTAGTAACATAAGTGGTTTCAAGTTGGAGTGGGTTTAGACCCATCTGGGCTCATTTTTAAAAATATAGATTTCTTGTATTCATTATGCGGCTACTAAATCAGGATTCCTATGGGAAGAGCCCTAGAGGTGACACCCTGAAGCAATCAGCCAAATGGGGGAGGCACTGAGGACTGATAAATTGCTCAAGCATCAGATGTTGACAAAACCTAAGTTCAAATTTGGATCTTCTGTTTATCAGCCATGGTACACTGCAAAAGAATTTGCATTTCTCTGACTTCAGTTTCTTTATTTGTGAAACAGAGCAAATAAACTTGCTGAATGTGTTGATGTGAGGATTAGATATAATCTGTGTAGCAATGGCCTAGGTCACTGTGTGGTACATCATAGGTCATCCATATGTAGCAGCTATAATCATCATATTTATGAATAGAATTCAGAAGTATTTAAAGCTGTGATGGCAGAATAAAAATATAAAATGATGATAATATCAATCTGAATCATGCACAAAATATAGACCAAATTGTGACTTCTTTTGCTAATATTTGCATTTTCTTTCCATTTCCCAGCTCTCAAAAGTCTATGGCCCTGTGTTCACTCTATATTTGGGCTTGAAGCCCACCGTGGTGCTGCATGGATATTAAGTAGAGAAGGAAGCCCTGACTGATCTGCAAGAGGAGTTTTCTGGAAAAGGCTGTTTCCAAGTGATTGAAAGAGCTAATAAAGGACATGGTACATGTGTGTGTGCATGTTCAGCGTTGTTAATGGGATGGGGAGAATGCAAAATAAGAATTGAAGGATCTCTTCAGCAGAGCTTGGTCCACCCAAGAGGCTGCCAAGTGTCAGCTTCCTTTTCCTTGCCGAGAACCTCCCTTCCGGCTTGTTTCCCCTCTGATAGGAATAGTGTTCAGCAATGGGAAGAGATGGAAGGAGATACAGCGCTTTTCCCTCACGACCTTGAGGAATTTCGGGATGGGGAAGAGGAACATTGAGGATCCACTTCAAGAGGAAGCCCGTTGCCTTGTGGAGGAGTTGAGAAAAACCAATGGTGAATGATGCTATACTCTGTAACTCTGACCTTAACAGACTGCTGTCTTCTCTAATAACATCCTTGAAAATGTTTCAGGAGCGGCCAAATCTTTCGTTACAGGTAGTGGCTGCCAGCTGTCAGGTGGAAGAGGGAGAGTGTGAAGCAGAGAACCAAGAGAGCTTTTGTGTATGTTTGCTTCTTGTGTGTGTACACTCGTGATTGTGCATACAGTGTGGGTGTAAAAGGTCCTTTAATCCTATTCTCTCCCAGCTTTGTTTTGTTTATTTTCAAATCATTACATTATAAAAGTAGGTTTTTGAGTCTCATTTTTCAAAAGAATTAAAGAGCATTGTTTTTCCCGTAGCGTAATTGTGGGTTGCCTATTCCAAAGCATCTCACTAGGGAATGTTTGTCAAGTGTGAATTACCTTTCATACCCTTATATTGTCAAACTAGCTGACATGTGATTTCTCTTAATTGGACTGTATCTGTACTGTCAGCCTCACCTACAAGTCTGAGGGTTTCTTCCAACATCCCCACCTACACTTCCCACCAGTTATGATACTACATATGGTTTATAATTTAATGTATGGCTTTAATTGCTTTGGCATATCTTTGTGCAGTTCTCATTAATTATAATTTTTGTGGGAACAAAGCATGACTTAAAAAGTGTGAGCATGGATTATTTAATATTACTCACTACTTACTGTATTGTCACAGATTTTACAAATTTTTTGCTACAGCATAATTCTGCAAAATACACAAATACTAAGTTGTACAATGACTTATTTAAGTAGACCTCAACTATTATTAATCCCTATCCCTAACAGTAATTGGCTCTGTTTTCAGTTTTGCTTAACATTTTCCCATTTTTATTGTATTTAGGGTTAAATTTTATGGTAGTTATACACCTCCCACTGTCAGCTCTACTAACCTATGAAGTGCTTTTCACAATGACACTGATTTTCTACTTGGATTCCAAACTACTGTGTTTTAAAATTATTCTCCCAATTGAAGTGAAAGGAAAGACTGCAAATCATATTTTACCTGTGAATCTCTTTCTCACATAACACACACATCCCCTAGGCATTCCAGACTATCCTCTACCTCCTTAGCTAAGATAAAACTTTTTTTGAAAGCTTAGAATCCTGGAATGTGTAAAGGAGCCAGGCATAGAATCAGGTAACACAACAGGTTTCCTATTATACAATGCCTTATTGTTTCTGCACATCATTTGTGATTCAAGTGACTTTCAACTGAATCTATAGAAGTGTATTTGGGATCTTTTTACATGTAAATTTTATCGGTCATTTGATTACAATTTCATTGTTCAGATCCCCACAAAAAGAAAACCTTTCCTCTACTTTAATTTCTTTACCTGTAAAATGATAGAATTAATCAAAATGATGGTTAAATTTTTAAAAAAATATTTTATTGAGGTCATATTGGCTTATAACATTGTGTAAATTTTAAATGTACATTATTATATATGAATTTCTGTATATCCTGTGTCCTGTTCACCGCCAATAGTCTAGTTTTTGTCCATCACCATACATATGTTCCTCTTTACTCCTTTCACTCTCCCCCCACTCCCTTCCCCTTTGGTAACTCCTAATCTGTTCTCCTTATGTATGTGTTTGTTCATTTTCCAAATATGAGTGATATCATATGGTGTTTGTCTATCTCTGTTGGCTTATTTCATTTAGCATAATACCCTCAAGGTCCATTCTTGTTGTTGCAAATGGCCCGATTTTGTATTTTTTAGAGCTGAGTGGTATTCCATTGTGTATATATACCACACCTTTATCCGTTCTTCCATTGATGGGCACTTGGGTTGCTTCCACATCTTGGCTATTGTGAATAATACTGCAATGAACATACGGCTGCATGAATCTCTTTGAATTGTTGATTTTGTTTTCTTTTGATAAATACCCAGTAGTGGGATAGCTGGATCATATGGTACTTCTATTTTTAAGTTTTTGAGAAATTTCCATATTGTTTTGTATAGTGGTTGCACACGTTTGCATTCCTACCAGCAGAGTATGACGGTTCCTTTTCCTCCACATCCTTTCCAAGATTTGTTATTTTTCGTCTTGATAATTTATAATTACCATTCTGACAGGTCTAAGGTGACATCTCATCATAGTTTTGATTTGCAATATCCTAATAATTAGTGATGTTGCACATTTTTTCAGATGCCTGTTGGCTATCTGTGTATCTTCTTTGGAAAAATTCTCTTCATATTCTCTGTCCATTTTTATTGGGTTGCTTTTTGTTGTTGTTGTTGAGTTGTATGAGTTCTTTATATAATTTGGAAATTAAGCCCTTGTCAGGTATATGATTTGCAAATATTTCCTCCCAGTTGGTGGGTTGTCTTTTTATTTTGTTCATGGTTTTCTTTGCCTTGCAGAAGTTTTTTAGTCTGATGTAGTCCCATTTGTTTATATCTTCTTTTGTTTTCCTTGCCTGATTAGACACGGTATTCAAAAAAATGCTGCTAATACTGATGTCAGAGAGTGTACTGCCTATATTTTCTTGTAGGAGTTTTTGGTTTCAGGTCTTCATTCCATACTTTAATCCAGTTTCAGTTAATTTTTGTGTATGGTGTCAGATAATGGTCTACTTTCATTCTTTTGTATGTGGTTGTCCAGTTTTCCCAACACTATTTATTGAAGAGAATTTCCTTTCTCTGTTGTATGTTCTTGGCTCCTTTGTCAAAGATCAGCTGCCCATAGATGTGTGGTTTTGTTTCTGGGCTTTCAATTTTGTTCCACTGGTTTCTGTATCTATTTTTCTGCTGGTACTATGCTGTTTTGATTACTATAGCTTTGTAGTACAATTTGAAGACAGGGATTGTGCTGCCTCCAGCTTTGTTCTTCTTTCTCTTGATTGCTTTGGCTATTTGTGGTCTTTTGTTGTTCTATATAAATTTTAAGATTCTTTGTTCCATTTCCATGAAGAATGTCATTGGGATTATGATTGGGATTGTATTGAATCTGTAGACTGCTTTAGGTAATATAGACATTTTAACTGTGTTTATTCTTCCAATCCATGAGAAGGATATATCTTTCCATTTCTTTATGTCGTCTTTGATTTCTTTCAATAATGTTTTATAGTTTTCAGTGTATAGGTCTTTCACTTCCTTGGTTAAATTTATTCCTAGGTATTTTACTCTTTTTGTTGCAATTGTAAATGGGATTGTATTCTTAATTTCTCTTTCTGCTGCTTCGTTGTTAGTGTATAGAAATGCAACTGACTTTTGTATGTTGATTTTATACCCCGAAACATTGCTGTAGTTGTTGGTTATTTCTAATAGTTTTCTGGTGGATTGTTTAGGGCTTTCTATATGTAGAATCATGTCATCTGCAAATAGCAAGAGTTTTACTTCTTCCTTTTTATTTGAGTCTCTTTTATTTCCTTTTTCTTGCCTAATTGCTCTGGCTAAAACTTCCAGTACTATGTTGAGTAAGTGTGGCCAGAGTGGGCACTCGTGTCTTGTTCCCATTCTCAGAGGAATGGCTTTCAGTTTTTCATTGTCAAGTATGGTGTTCGCTGTGGGTTTGTTATATATGGTCTTTATTATGTTAAGATACTTTACTTCTATATACATTTTATTGAAAGTTTTTATAACAAATGGGTGGTTGATCTTGTCAAATGCTTTCTCTGCATCTATTGAGATGGTTGTGTGATTTTTATTTCTCATTTTGTTAATGTGGTGTACCACGTTGAGTGATTTGCAGATGTTGAACCATCCGTACCTCCCTGGAATAAATTCCACTTGATTATGTTGTATAATCCCTTTAATGTATTGGTGTATTTGATTTGCTGACATTTTGTTGAAGATTTTTACATCTATGTTCATCAATGATATTGGCCTGTAGTTTTCTTTTTTTGTGTTGTCCTTGTCTGGTTTTGGTATCAGAGTAATGTTGGCCTTGTAGAATGAGTTAGGAGGCATCCCATCCTCTTCAATATTTCAGAATAGTTTGACAAGGATAGGTATTAAATCTTGTTTGAATGTTTGGTAGAATTCACCAGAGAAGCCATCTTGTCCTGGGGTTTTGTATTTTGGGAGGTTTTTGTTACGGTTTCAATCTCTTTATTTGTGATTGGTCTATTGGGATTCTCTGTGTCTTCTTTATTCATTTTTGGGACGTCATATGTATCTAAGACTTTATCCATTTCTTCTTGGTTAGACAATTTGTTGGCATGTAGCTTTTCATAGTATTCTGCTATAATCCTTGTATGTCTGTGGTATCTGCTGTCATTTCTCCTCTTTTAATTCTGATTTTATTTATTTGAGTCTTCTCTCTTTTTTTCTTAGTGAATGGGCTAAAGATTTGTCAATTTTATTTCTCTTCTCAAAGAACCAGTTCTTCATTTCATTGTTCCTTTCTACTATTTTTTTTAAACTTTTCTTTTACTTTTTGTGAGGAAGATCAACCCTGAGCTAACATCCATGTCAATCCTCCTCTTTTTTTTGCTGAGGAAGACTGACCCTGGGCTAACATCTGTGCCTATCTTCCTCCACTTTATGTGGGATGCCGCCACAGCATGGCCTGACAAGCAGTTCATAAGTGCACAACTGCGATCTGAACCCAGGGCGCAAGCAGCAGAGCACGCACACTTAACCGCTATGCTACACGGCCAGCCCCTCTACTATTTTATTTTTAAGTCTCTATTTCATTTATTTCTGCTCTGATTTTTACTATTTTACCCCTTTTACTAACTTTGGTTTTGTTCTTCTTTTTCTAGTTATTTTAGATGTAATTTAAGATTACTTATTTGAGATTTTCTTGTTTGTTGAGGTAGGCCTGTGTTGCCATAAATTTCCCTCTTACTTCCGTTTTTGCTGCATCCCATAAGAGTTGGTATGTTGTGTTCCACTATACCTGCCCTATAAGAAATGATGAAGGGAACCCTCCTCCCTGAAACAAAAAGGCAAAGATTACAAAGCTTTGAGTAAGGAAATAAATAGACAGACATTCATAAAATTGCAGCTCTAAATCAGAATAGGTTAGCATTTTTTATAGGTTTTTATAGGTTATCCTTTATTATAACATAAAGGATAAAGGGAAAGAAAGCATCCAAAACAACTATAAACACTTTGATTTGGTCAAAAACTCCCAACAAAATAAGAATAATTTGTGACGACAAAAACATAGGAGAAGAGAAAAGGGATGGAACCTGCATAGGCTAATGGAGATAAGAAGCTATCTGTAAAAGGACTATCTCATCTATGAGATCTTTTATACAAACCTCATGGTAACCACTAAACAAAAAATCAGAGCAGAGTCACATATCACATATAAAGAGAAAACTGAGAAAACCATCACGGAAAAACACCAAACTGAAATGGCAGACAGAAATACAAAGGAAAAGAAACAATGGAATATAGAACAACCAGAAAACAAGAGGTAAAATGGCAATACTAAGCCCTTATATATGAATAATCACTCTAAATGTAAATGGATTGAACTCACCAATCAAATGACTGAGAATGTTGGATGGATTATAAAAGAAGAGTGAACAATATGCTGCCTCCAGGAAACACATCTCAGCTCTAAATACAAACATAGGCTCAGAGAGAAGGGTTGGAAGGTGGTACTCCAAGCAAATGGCAAGCAAAAGAAAGTGGATGTAGTCATGCTTAGACAAAGCAGACTTCAAGATAAAAAGGATAAAGAGACACAAAGATGGGCATTACATAATGATAAAAGGGACATTCCACCAAGAAGATATAATACTTATTTATATATATGCACCTAACACAGGAGCACCAAAGTATATATAGCAACTATTAACAGAACTAAAGAGAAAGATTGAAACCAACACAATAATAACAGGGGACATTAAAACCCTACTTAATTCAGTGGATAGATCATCCAGAAGAAAGTCATCAAGGAAACAGTGACCCTAAATGAAATACTAGACCAGACGACCTTAATAGATATATAAATAGAACTTTCCATCCAAATACCACAGAATACACATTCTTCTCAAGAGCACAGGGAGCATTCTCAAAGATAGACCATATGTTGGGAAGCAAGATGGTTAAATTTTAAAATTTGTTAAAATATACTATTCTGTTGATGGCTATACAGAATAATATCCCAGAGGTCTACAAGAGAGTGGTTTTGCCCAAATAAATTAAATTTGGGGGCTAATTGGAGATGGTGGACCCTGTTTCTTAAGGTAGAAAATTACTTTTATTTTATGAATGTGAAATGAAGAAATAAAGGAACTCCATTTATCAGTTTGACCTTTTTATTTGCCTTATCTGGGATTTAGTTTGAAATAAATATTTCTCTTTTTATTTTTATTTTAGAATGACAAATCTACCTTATTATTATTGTTTATATATGTCAGGTTTTTTTCCAATAAATCATCGATACTTTCTTCTTTTTTATGTTTGTTCCCTCAAATACACAAATTCACCTATAATCTCTGTCTCTTTAGTCTTCCATTCTGCTGTTTTACACACAATTAAATATATAAAGTTTAAAGTGCCTAACTATTTTTTTTTAAAGATTTTATTTATTTATTTTTTCTGCCCAAAGCCCCAGTAGATAGTTGTATGTCATAGCTGCACATCCTTCTAGTTGCTGTATGTGGGATGCAGCCTCAGCATGGCTGGAGAAGCGGTGCGTCGGTGCGCGCCCGGGACCCGAACCCGGGCCACCAGCAGCGGAGCGCGCGCACCCAACCGCTAAGCCACGGGGCCGGCCCGTGCCTAACTATTTTTTTGTTCCTATATCAGTCCTTAATTGTTTACAGGCTTTGAAGAAAGAAGTGATTCCGCACTGATAACTTGAATTACTCCGTGTTTTAGAAACTGGCCTCTTTAAATGTTTCCTCTTTCTCTCCAAAATAAGAGGTACCTTGGGTTAGAATGATGTAAATAAAGGGGTGGATATGAATAGAGTATTGGGAAAAGAGTTATTAAACTACCTAGGATGTAATGGTCAACTCAAGTTTAATGTAAAAGTGATATGTTGATTTTATGCATCATGAAATTTTTCCTGTTAAGGGAATATCTAGGTCGATATTGCTTTAAAATTTCTAAAATTACTTTTCTGTTATCTCAAAAACAAATACTTTTATATGTATATTACAATGTTATTTTTTAAATGTTTCCCATTCTTTAGGCTCACCTTGCAATCACACCTTTATCCTCGTCTGTACTGCCTGCAATATGATCTGCTCCATAGTTTTCCAGAACCAGTTTGATTACACAGATCAGAATTTTCTTAACTTGTTGGAATTAGTGAATGAAAACGTCAAGATTCTGTGCTCCCCAGGATTGTAGGTGAGACCATAATCCTTTCTTTCTAGGAAACCATTTATACTCATTCCTCTGACAAGTCCAATATTCTATGTGAACCAAACTGTGAAGTGAATGTTTGAATACCACAGTCCTGCCCAGAGCTTAGTGTCATGGGGTAAACCTCTGGGAAAGGTGGCAAAGCCCTTTATTTTACACACAAGAAAACGAATGCCCAAATATAGAGCTTGAATTCAAGTCTATTTGCTCTCTAACCAGTGGTTATTCTAGTAAACTTCAAAGCCCAGTTTCCATAAAGTATTTTGGTGACTGTCCAAAAGTATGGCCATAGCACTCAATGGACACCCAGGCCCTTGTTGAAAGGCTTCCATTATCCAAAAGAGTTGCCCTCCAATCAACACTTAGAGACCACCTCATCACATTACTTGGCAGAAATATCCTACTTTAGGATATGAAGGAGGAAGAATGTTTAGGACCACAGATGCTTCCAAGAAACTCTGAACAGGGAGGGAATGTTTCATGCTTCGATTGGGATCCTATCTGACAAGACAATTGGGTTAGGAATGATAAAATGATTGGGTTTTGGTAGTAACATAAAAACGTATGAAAATATACAGCACATTGGTAAAGGCAAATATATAGCCAAATTCAGAAAACTCTAATGCTGTAATATGGTAGCATGTTAACCACATAACGGTTAAAGGACAAGTGTATCAAAAATGACTATAGCTACTATAATTTGTTAATCAATACACAATATAAAAAGAGACAATTAGCGACTTTAAAATGTAAAAGAGGGGAGTAAAAGGGTAATTTTTGTATACAATCAAAATGAAGTTTTTATCAGCACAAAAATACTGTTGTATCTATAAGAGATTTTATGTAAATTTCATGGAAACTACAGTAAGGATGGCAGAAGAGAGACAAAATGGAACACGAGAACTATGAAACAATCAGAAAGCAGTTAATAAGATGGCATTGGTAAGCTCCTACATATTTATAATTACTCTAAAGGTAAATGGATTGAATTCATCAGTAAAAAGGAACAGAGTGGCTTGGTGGATTAAAAAATAAACAAGCCCCAAGACTATGCTGCCAAAAGGAAATTCACTTCAGCTTTAAGTACACACATATGCTTAAAGGGATGGAGAAAGGTATTCCAAGCAAGTAGTAACCGAAAGAGAGTAGGTGTAGTTATACTTCTATCAACAAAATGGACATTAAGCCAAAAAAAGGTAAAAAGAAACAAAAACAAAAACAAAAACAAAAACAAAAAAAGTCATTATATAATGAAAAGGGGTAAATTCATCAAGAAGGTGTAACATAATCACAAGAAAAAATTTGTAACTGTGTGTGATGATTGATATTTACTAGACTTGGTGTGGTGACATTTTGCAATATATGCAAATATTGAATCATTATGTTCTACATTGGAAACTAATATAATGTTATATGTCAATTATATCTCAATAAAAAATGATAGCAATCATAAATATATACTCAATCAACATTGGACCACAGCATATATTATGCAAATACTAACAGATCTGAAGGGATTAATAAATAACACTAGAATAATAGAAGGGGACTTCAATACCCCACATTCAGCAATGGATACATCACCCAGAATGATAATCACAAGGAAACATTTGACTTGTGGAGCTATACAATTGACTCTATGGAGCTAAGAGAAATATAGGACATTCTATCTAACAGCAGCAGAATATATGAATTTTTTCTGAAGCATGCATAATATTCTGCAGGATAGATCATATGATAGGCCACAAAACAAGGCTTAGCCAATTTAAGAAGATTGAAATCTTATGAAGTATCTTTTCTGAAAACAATGATATGAAATTAGAAATCAGCAATAAGAGGAATCCTGGAAAACCTACAGAAAGTTGGAAATTAAACAGCATACTTCTGAACAACCAATGGGTCAAAGAAGAAATCAAAATGAAAATCAAAAAATATCTTGAAACAAAAGAAAATGGAAACACAATATACTAAAGGCTATGGGATATTGCAAAAGCAGTTCTAAAAGGAAACTTTCTAGTGATAAATTCCCATGTTAAGAAAAAAGGAAGATCTCAAACAACCTAAGCCTACACCTCAAAAACTAGAAAACTAAGAACAACCTAAGACAAAATGTAGCAAATGGAAGAAGAAAACAAAGATCAGAGTAGCAAGAAATGAAATAGAGAAGAGGAAAAAAAAATCAAAATGATCAATGAAACCAAGAACTAGTTTTTTGAAAACATAAACAAAATTGAGAATGGTTTATCTAGACAAACTAGGAAAAAAAGAGAGAAGACTCCAATAAATAAAATCAGAAATGAAAGAGGAGACACTACAACTGCTATGACATAAATACATAAGATCACAAGAGACTATGGTGAACAATTATATGCCAACAAATTGGATAACCTAGAACAAATGGATAAATTCTTAGAAATGTACATAGACTGAATCAGGAAGAAATACAAAACATGAACACCAATAATGTGTAAGAAGATTGAATCAATGTAGCGTGAGTACATGACATTAAGCTATTGATTGCTGAGTCATCCATTTCAAGATCCATCCATCTAGAGTAAACATATTGCCAGCTGTATGACACAGCCAATTGCAAAGCAACCAGATAAGGAGCTAGGCCCCCCACACCCATGAAGTTCCCTTTTCAGAAAACCCTGGGCAACTTAGATAACTGACCATTTGAGTGACCCTGCCTCATTTACCATGCCCTGTTACCTGCTCTTATGTTTCAAATTAGCCAGTAATGAGTGACCCTGAAAAACTCCAGACACCAAAAGCTTGGACTCGAATAAAGGCAGGGGCACAGGTCCTAGCTCTCTCTCTCTACCTGGGACCTTTCTGTGTGGCCCTCAGTCATGCCATGTGCCCTCCAGGATCTGTGAGCAGTAAATCTTGTTCCTCAAAGTTCCCTGATGTTTATTGCTGAGGTGTATCCTGTGATCATAAGAACCACAAGGGTTAGTCTACCCACAACATTGGCCCCAGTGAAGGAAATGTCTGTGGGGCTCACTACAACTAATACAGGTCCAGGGGTGTCCCCCAGGCATTCCCAGCTGAGAGCTTCCCTATCAATATGCTGGGACTACCACAAAATCAATAATCAAAAACGTCCCAACAAAGAAAAGCCCATGACCAGATGATTTCATTGGTATATTCTGTTAAACTTTTAAAGGAGACTTAATGCCAATCCTTCTGAAACTCTTCCAAAAATTTGAAGAGGAGGGAACACTCTCAAAATCATTTTATGTTTGAGATCATCACCCTGATACAAAAACCAGATAAGGACATTCCAAAAAGAAAAATATAGACCAATATTCCTCATCAATATAGGTGCAAAAATTCTCAAGAAAATACTAGGAAACCAAATTCAACAGCAGATTAAAAGGATCATGCACCGTGATCAAGTAGGGTTTATCCTTGGGATGCAAGGATGTTTCAATGTATGCAAATATATAAATGTCACATACCACATTAATAGAATGAAAGATAAAAATTATATGATCATCTCAATAGATGCAGAAAAAGCATTTGACAAAATTCAACGTCCTTCATGATAAAAACTCTCAACAAATTAGATATAAAAGGAACATACCTCAACACAATAAAGGCCATATATGACAAGTCCACAGCTAATCTCACACTCAATGGTGAAAGGTTGAAAGATTTTCATCTAAGATCAAGAATGAGACAAGGGTGCCCATTCTCACTACTCTTACTCAACATATTACTGGAAATACTAGTAAGAGAAATCAGGAAATATAGAGAAATAAAAGGATATAAGTTGCAAAGGAAGAAGTAAAATTGTCTTTATTTGCACATGATACAATCTTACATATAGAAAATCCTGAAGACTCAATAAAAAACTATTAGATATAATCAACAAATTCAGTAAAGTTGTGGGATATAAAAATCCATGTACTGGGGGGCTGGCCCAGTGGTGTAGTGGTTAAGTTTGGCATGCTCTGCTTTGGGGGCCCAGATTCATGGGTTCAGATCCCGGGCATGTAGATGCACTGCTCATCAAGCCATGCTGTGGAGGTAACCCACATACAAAACAGAGGAGGATTAGTACACATGTTAGCTCAGGGCCACTCTTCTTCAAGCAAAAAAAAAAAAAAAATCCACATACAGAATTCAGTTGAATTTCTAGACACTAACAATAAAATATCTGAAAGAGAAATAAAGAAAACAATCCAATTCACAATAACATCAAAAACAATGAGATGCTGGAGAATAAATTTAACCAAGGAAGGGAAAAATCTGTACACTGAAATCTATAAGACAATGATACAAGTAAATGTAGAAGATACAAACAAATGGGAATATATCACATGTTCATGGATTAGATGAATGAATATTGTTAAAACATCAATACTACCAACGCCATCTGTAGATTCAACACAGTCCCTATCAAATTTCCAATGGTACTTTTCACAGAAATAGGAAAAAAATCCCAAAATTTGCATAGAACCACAAAAGACACTGAGTAGCCAAAGAAATCCTGAGAAAGAAAAACAAAGCTGGAGGAGGGAGTCAAGATGGCGGCGTAGGCAGACTCTGAACTCACCTCCTCCCGTGGACACAGCCAATTTACAACTACTCGTGGAAAAATTACCCCTGAGAC